CACACAAACATAAACACACACATACACACACACACAAACACACACACACACAAACACACAGACACACACTTATACAAAAACGTATTCTTCTTTCTTTCTACATACCTTTTCTTTCCTCTCACAACTGCCTCTAACGATCTGCTTCTGTAATAATTATGTTCTTGTTTTTCAGGACTTTACTTATATTAAGACGCAAAAATACTAGACCATCCTCGGACTATTGTCAAAAGCAAAGGCCTCCTCACCTTTTTTTCCCCTTTTTTGTTTAACCCCAATCCCTTCCCTACTCGAGCGTGTTTAGCGGGTGCTTTGGTGTGGTTTACTCCTTCTTCCATATCAAACATCTGTTATCCTTATCTCCTCTCTATCTTTTTTGCTTTCGTTACTCTCTTATAACACCTCTTATCTCGGCCCTTATATGACCTACCTGTGTTGCAAGTGTAGTAAAACGCTTATGAAAACTAAACACGCCTTTCCGAAAGGGGGGATATTAGCATGTTTTTATTCAGAGTAGAAATGTAAATGGGCAGATTTATCAATGGCATGCTCATACTGTGCTGGAACAACATAGTGGAAACTGCTGCATTTTCTTTCCTCATCCTTACTTTCGTCATTTTGCCTCTACTTCTTTTGTATGTTTGTCACTCTCTTGAGAACTGCTATTTCCGGGGTGCGTTGATAGTGGAAGCAGACTTCGTACTGTTGATGCTAGAGAGGTGAGCAGAGCAGAGTAAGCCTGATTCCCCGTTTGGACTTCTCTGTTGACATCCACCCCTTGGCGCTCATATGACCTTATGCAGTTGTGAGCGCCGTAAAACATTCATAAACCAAACCAGAAACCCTTTTCCCACTTTTAAATGTCATCGCCCTCCCCCCATCCCCCACGTTCATTCCAGACATGCCTGGTTCTGTTGGGCCTCGTCGGTCTGGTCTGCGCCAACGTTGACCAGGTGCTGACGTCACCGGATGTGGACGTGCAGGCTGGGTTTTTTCCTGACTCCGGCTACCTGAGGGGCAATCCTTCTAGAGGTGAGAGGTCACAGTCACAGCATGTTTTAGCTCGTACTTGTGGATTAGGCGCAACGAATTGCTAGTTGCAAAGCGCATAGACCATGCTGCCGAGTGTGTGCATGCACTATTTAAATGCAATTGTTATTATTATTATTATTATTATTATTATTATTATTATTATTATTATTATTATTATTATTATTATTATTATTATTATTATTATTATTATTATTATTATTATTATTATAATTATTATTATTATCATTATTATAATTATTACTCTTATTATTATTATTATTATTATTATATTATTATTATTATTATTATTATTATTATTATTATTATTATTATTATTATTATTATCATTATCATTATTATTACTATCGTTATTATTTTTATTATTATTACTATTTTAAACAGTAGCAATAATAACAATAATAGTATGTTATTATTATTATTATTATTATTATTATTATTATATTATTATTATCATTATTATTTTAATTATTTCGTTTTGTTTCAGTTTTGTTCTTCATATTAGGTGTATGCTGTTATCTTTTGATTTAAAGTAAGATCTATTTTCGCATACGTTCTGTTAGTTTATTTAATATAGTGTTGGGTGTGATTGCGGATGGGCTAGTTTTTTAAGTTAAACTGTTTGGTGAGTTGTAAGAGAAAGAGGCATCATTTTAGAAATCGCTTCTCTTTGTTTGTGATTATAACCCGCTTTTAATCAATGTGCTTCTAAAGAGAGCCAATTAATGAAAACATTACAACGATAAGGAGGAAAAGAGAGGATGAAAAACTCTGTATATCATGTATATTATGTCCCGCAGAGAAAAGTGCAGTAGGCTACAACAGTATGCTTTACCAGGAGTACACAAGCGAAACAATACAAACTAAGAACTTACGGAAGCTTGGCCTTTCTCTCATCGTCGATTCAAAACATACAACACAGTGTGACTTTGCTTCCACATTGCTGCTGTGCAGATGTCGTTCATTTCTATCTAGCAATGGGGAATTTAGGGGGAGGGGTGAAGACAGAGAGAGAGAGGGGGGATGAGGGAGGGAGGGAGAGAGAGAGGGGAGAGAGAGAGAGCGAGAGAGAGAGCGAGAGAGAGAGCGAGAGAGAGAGAGAGAGAGAGAGAGAGAGAGAGAGAGAGAGAGAGAGAGAGAGAGAGAGAGAGAGAACACAAACGGGACGTAACTCTTTAAAAGATTGTTGTTATCGTCTTCAAAAATTGTTGTTTCCCTTCTTTGCGTTATTTCCATTTATTCCCCTTATAAAAAGACGCTTCCAATCAAGATTTTGGTAAGTCTTTCTCGTCCAGGTTCGAGTATACGTTGATTGCTCTCCTTGACCCAAAAAGACTCATTTCCATTTCAAGTTGCTTCACACACACACACACACACACACACACACACACACACACACACACACACACATACACACATACAAACATGTACTTTGTCATGCACCCCTCCCCCTCACACACAATGGAGCATGGAGACAGTCCAGTTAGCATTTTGATGGGATTCATCTCGGATAGATATGGTTCAAATTCCTAATGGGTTGACGTGATCTTGAACTGGATTTGTTAGGGGACTTTTTCAGCTCTTCAACAACAAATAGCCCTGATTCTTTCCGAGATGGACTTAGCATTTGGAGGTCCTGCTTCATAAAAGACCATACCATCTTTGTTTAGCGCTTTATACCTATGCCATTCCTTCTCCAGGTGTTGCTCAGGCCCCTGCTGGGTACAGAAAAGACGGCAACAGCTTAAACAATGTCTTCTCCTCAACCAATAGTCTTGCATCAAGACTCAGGTTTGTTTTTAATAGTAATAATAGTAATAATAGTAATAATGATAATGATAATGATAGTGATAATGCTAATGCTAATGATGATAATAATAATAATAATAATAATAATAATAATAATAATAATAACAATAATAATAATAATAATAATAATAATAATAATTATAATAATTATAATAATAATTTAAAATTTTTTTAACAATACTGATAATAATAATAATA